AAATATTAAATATTAAATATTAAATATTAAATATTAAATATTAAATATTAAATATTAAATATTAAATATTAAATATTAAATATTAAATATTAAATATTAAATATTAAATATTAAATATTAACGTGTTAATCTTTTTATTAATCCGCAATTGTTTTTGAAAATTTTAAAACTATTGTATTTTTCTTTGAATAAACTTTTCAAAAGGCTTTCAATTTGGCTCACTATAACTTTTGTAATACAATTCATATATAATTTTGCCAAGATACTGTAAAATAGTAAAAAATACATTTTAACCTTGTAAAAAGACAACAATCTAAAAAATGCATTTTCAGTTCACCAAGTTCAGAATGTATGGGTAATCTGCAACACTGTATGCAAAACACACTTAAGTGGCAAATAGGCTGACATTCATGAAAATGATTTCATTATAAAACCAATTACGTGAGTATTAATTAGTTTAACTACCGGAATATTTTATTATAAAATATTTTCTGAAAATCAGCTGCGGTTGAGTGAACAGGGTCTTTAAATATTAATAAATTCAACTCAATTTTTATACTATTTACCACTGGTTTTGTAAATAAATTATTTTCCTGTTTTCTACCCGAAACAGTGGACCAAGATTATAACAAAAATTTAACAAATCATTTTAATAATACTCAAATAGATATTATACATTTAATTCATGAATTACATTTTTAAATAAATTAAACTAATGACCATTTTTAATTAATTTTAATTAATATTATTTATTTTAGAAAACATTCTTAAAATCTCGTATAATATTGTTATGACAATAAATATAAATTATTCAAACTAAACTACAATTTATTATTAAATTTGTTAATCAAATGTGAAATCCTATTGATTTTGGGATACTCTTTGAGAATGCGATTCTTGAGATCATAATAACACCGAAACCTTATCTCTCCTTTCATCTGATAATACGATAAATTACATTAAAATACAAATAATAACAAACTTAATATAATTTTACAAAACATACGAGCATTTCGTGGTTATCCCGACTGTCCGTACAGTCCATACAATAGAGAATATCCTTAATATACGCCAAAAGTGCCAAAACTTTTGACTCTTTGATAAGTCTTTCGCGTGAATTGATCTCATTTTGAGCATAAGATTTGCCATAAATTTTGATCATCTCTTGAATATATGCTTCAATAAAATCATACATTTGTGTGTCAGCCGGGAAGTCACCCGAACCAAACTCGGTGTCCATCTGACCCCACCTACTGAAGTACTGCCCAAAATCGACGCCCCGGTAGTTATAATTACTCCAATCAAAGTCTATGAGATATATACCGGGGTTATCGGTACTGTTATTATTGTCCGATTCTTGGATCAGAATATTCCTGCGGTTGAAGTCGTTGTGTGAGAACACTATAGGACTCCGGAGTTCAGTGACTGTCCTTTGATACCATTCCACCTCTTCTATGAAATCTAGTTTCGAGAATATCTCGAGGTTTTGGGCGGTTATGTGTTTGCGGATTATGCCCGTCCTGTATGAGTCCCGGAGCTTCTGGTCAAACCATTTCTCAAATATGTTTGTAGTCGAGTAGTGGGTGCTGTCCTTAGGGACAGGCATTTGTAAAGAATGAAATTTTGCCAATTTTTGCGCTAATAATGTAACGGTTTTGGGATTGAGGTAATCGTTTGCATTGAAATGTCGACTCTATTTGCAAAATACAACTAAATTTAGTTAAGCTATTAATATAATTACTTTTTCTATTAGTTTATATAAATTTTGCACATATTTTTATTTTTATTTATCATAATTATAAATATTATTTTATCTATATATAAACCTCAATGTACTCAATGATAGTGCCATTTCCGAAAACACTCAACAGTTTTGGTGATAATCCTATTTCAGACAATATGAGACAAATGGCCACAACATGTGAGGGCTCGTAATAGCCGGAAAACATCGCATAGTCGGCATACCTGACCACCACTTTGTCATATTTAGTGTCAACATTTTCGGGTAGAAAACAGTAAAAAAGTTTATTCACAAAACCTTCCCTGAATTTACAGAAAGATAAGATAAATGCATAAAAATAGATAAAAAAATAATTTATAAATATTTGTAAATTGAAAGTAAAATCATACGTATTATGTCTTATAATGAGATCATTTTCGCCAACTTCAGCCCATTTGCCGCTTAATTGTGTTTTGCATAACTCATACACTTTATGGCGATCTTCATCCGAAACAATTTCATCCATTTTTAAGAGAAAATGTTTTACAATTTTACTAACATTAATATTTGACAATATTAATAAAATTATTATTTTGTACAAGTGTCTATTTACTTTATATACACTGTATTTACAAATAAGTTACTAGTTATGAAAACTAAATAAAATATGTGCTATAAATACGATACTCTGGGTGGATTTGGATATTAGATACGTATACTCTTGTGGTTTGTCTTTGTTTTTATCACTATTTGATAATAAAACTTAAAGTGAGATAAAATTTTACACACATTTACAATATAAATGCTGATTTCATACAATTAAAACTGAGATTGTATTAAGTCTTACTGCTAGATAAATGACAATGTTAAACAATGATTCTATATTGAACACAATGTTGTAATAAAATTTTTATTTTCATAACTAAATGCAATGTTACAATATTTCTATTATAGTGACAATAAAATATTTATTTAGTTATTGATTAAAAGTGCACATATTTTGGTTGAATTGGCGGTAATAAGTTAAGAAATTAATTTTATACCTTTAACATAATTTTTAAATTAACATAATGGTTATTATAATATTGTTCATAATAAAAAGGTTAGACAAGTTTTACTGAATTTACTTGTTTGACAGTAGTATTTATCAATCATATTATTTTTGAATATGCGATAACATAGAAAATTTGTCTCTGTTTTTATTTGGAAATACAATAAACAATTTATTTACATAACAATAAAACCTGAATGTACTTTCTAAATGACTATAATTACAATTCAATTGAAGTACAGTGCATGTTGACCATAATAATTAATTGAATTAAACTTTTTAAATAATGTTTATAATTACGTTAAGTTAATAAATTCAAGAGTAAAATATGATTGCATATGAAATACACGACATATTCCTTGAATTCCGTGTTATTCATGAGAAACATATCATAACAATAGAATCCAATGTCTTTTGCCGACACTCTCTCTATGAATGACATTATTTTGAGTCTATTTTTCACTGAAATCTGTGTATTTTTTGCGCAAATATATGAATTTATAATTGAGTGACACTTATAGGCATATGTATTAACTTGAGTGCATAGCAAGTTAATTAGTAAAACAGTAGTAAAAAATGTGGTAAATAAAAATGCAAACGTAAATCTAATGGTCCAGGTTGAATCTTTTGCAAATATTAGGAATAATGTCATTTGAAAGGCTAAACTCACAATGTAATATAATATAAACAAGACATATTTATAAAAATTATTAAAATTATATGTAATTCTTGCTACAGAATTAAATTCATTAATTGCTACCATAAGTAATGCATTGTTTTTCATACTTATAGATGAATTAATTTTTAAATTAACTTCAATATATTTATATTTTAAATATGCAAATAATACAACGGATATTATTAAGCCAAATGTTATTAAACAAAATACTTGAACCGTAACTACAGTCCAACATAAATGCCATAAAATAACACCAATTAATGAAAATCCAGAATTTGAATCCAAATATGACATTATGGCTATCAATGTGAATGTAGTCCATTGCATGCAAAATAGTCCCCAAAATGATTGTTTCATGTAATATTTAGTAAGCATATTGAATTTAAACATTAGTTTTTTATAATGATTATAATTTAGTGGAGGGTCAACCAAATTGTTTTTAATATTGTAAAAGAATTCACAAATAAATAATGTTTTGTGATTCTCTTGGTATTGTACAACAAATAGTAACAAAAACATTGCTATGTTTCCGATACCAAATAAGCCGGATATTTGCGATTGATTGCCCAATAAATAGCTTGAATCGCATAATAAGTGTCTCACAAATGAGTATCTATTAAACAATGCCGATAGACTAAATCGTAATGCAATTATAAATGTGATAAACCGCGTGAATGACAATAATATTTCTCTAGGTTTGGATTTAATATCATTCACGTAATCATCAAAATTATAGGTAAGTAATAGGGCTTTGGTGAGCAAGCTTTGAAATTGATTAACAGGTAGTGATGGATCAATATTTTTCAATACAAACTTGTTGAATTTAGTTATGAGTTTTAATTTTATTGAATTCATTTTATAGAAATTTTAATAAATTAAGTATACTTCTAAGTTATAACTTTTTATATACCTGTATTGTTATATATTTTTGACTAGAAAATAAAGTATATTAATAGAAAACAATATCCCATATCACTGATAATAAATTATTGAAAAAACACATAATTAAAAATAATATTGTTTTGTTAATTATAAAATCATGTTATAATGAATTCAGAAATAGATTTTTCTAAATAATAATGAATTATTGTTATAAGAAAATCATTTGAATATTTATTAAATAAAATCTTTAGTAATTAGCATATAAATTAGTATTTTCTTATAATGCATATTATTTCTAAGTAAACAATATTGTGTGACAATTAAGATTTATTTCATTAAAAAAGTAAAATACAATTATTTCATGTGGATAATAATCAAATAATTTTATTAAAATTTTTATTTTCATTAATATTCATGTATTATTTTATTTTATACAAATGTTTAATTGAATAGAAATTATTATTTTATTTAATATTGTATTGCTTTTGTATTTTCACCTTAAGTTNTATTTTATTTAATATTGTATTGCTTTTGTATTTTCACCTTAAGTTCATGATAGCATTTAAACCTCTTTTCGGCGTTTATCTGTTAAACATTTCAATTTAATTATAAGTAATAAGCTTTAATATATTAGAAAATAAACTTGCATACCATTTCATCTGGTTTCTTATTACTATCAGCCAGGTAAATACAAAATAGCAGATCAACCATAAATGCATATAAAGCAAACACTTTGGCCTCAAATATAAGTCTTTCGCGTGAATTCATTTCATTTTCAACGTAAGAATTGCCATAAATTGTAGTCATTTCCTCAATATATGCGTTAATAAAGGGTAACATTTGCGAGTCAGTCGGGAATACTCCGTAACCAAATTGGGTCTCCTTTTGACCCCAACTACTGAAATAATATCCCAAATCAATGCCCCGATAGGCGTACGACGAGAAGTCAAAGTCTATGAAAAATAAGTCCAAATTCTGTGAATTCTTGTCATTTGTTTCGCGAATTAATATATTCTTTCGGTTGAAGTCGTTGTGCGAGAAGACAACCGGACTATTGAGCTCTTGGATAGTCTGCCTCAGCCATGACATCTCATCCAACAGATCCAGCGCTAGAAATGTCTCGTATTTATGTTTCTGTATCATGTCGTATACCAGTCCCTCCCGGATTGATTTCATTAGTTTCTCGTCAAACCATACCTCAAACACATTAGTCATTAACTGTTGGGTACTGTCCTTAGGGATAGGCATTTCCGATGAGTGAAGTTTGGCCACGTTTTGGGCTATCAATTCGACCGCTCGGGGGTTGTGGTCATCACTGGCACTGAAATACCGACCCTTTGTTTTGGTATAAAAACAATTTGTATTTTAATTTCAAATTACTTTCGATGAATACATACGTCAATGAATTCACTGATAATCCCAGAGTCAAAAACACCTAATATTTTTGGTGCCAACCCTTTGGCCGATAATAGCAGTCCCATTGACAACACATGTGTCGGATTAAAATATTCTTGGTACTCATTAGCATCCTGCATTCTGACCACTATTTTATTATATTTTGTTTTATTATGTTTTTCGGGTAGAAAACAATAAAATAACTGATTCGTGAACCCATCGCTAAAATACAACGAAAATACAAATGATTATTGAATTATAATCAATATTTATAAATTAACAATTTCAAATTAACAGTAATACTCACGTATTTGATTTTATAATGAGCTCACTCTCATTAATTTGAGCCCATTTTCCGCTTAATAATGTTTTACATAATTCATAGATTTTATGCCGATTTCCAACAGAAACTACTTTATCCATATTTTGTTAAATTATTTTTCAAAACATTATTTAAAATTAAAAACTATTTTAAACACTCGTATGACTTATATGAAACTGAATGTTAACAGTATAATTGTCTGCTTTATATAGTAGTTCATAATTATTGTATACATTGATTGGCAATCAATGATTGTTATTAATTGTAATATCAGATCATTAGTTACTGTATGTTATGTACTGTACTGTACTCGTTGTACAACTTTCATGATTGATGTCTTTTTAATCTACATTTTGATTTCAATGCCTTTAATAGGAAACATCTACATTAATAATTTGTGCTGTAATTATAGTCTATTTTATTATTTGATATTACAAAATATTTGGTTACGAAGGTTCGTTAGTGCTTTGGTTAAAAATATAACTTGATGCACTTTAATATGATATTTTAATTAATTAAGTAATTTGTTATTTATATTGAAGTATATTTTAATTAAAAATATTAAAATATATTTAGTAACAAGTAAGACTAAACAGTATTATAGACTTCAAACATATTATATTTTATTTATTATTTACGAGTTAATAAAAATACAAATTCTTGATATTTATTTAAAAATATAAAACAGTCAAATTATTTAATTCATTATATAGTTATACCGGTAGTAAGTATTTTAATATTCATTTAAGTGAATATTGATCCTGGATCCTTTTCTTGAGCTCATGATAGCATTTAAACCGCTTTTCGGCGTTAATCTAAAATATAATAAAATATAAAATTTTAATAAATGATTAGATTGAATTAAGTAACAAGTAAATTAAGTAAACAAATCAACCATGTTTATATTTATAGACAATAATTACCATATGTGTCGTATCCTTATTAATAGTCAGATAAATACAGTAATGGGAATCAATCATAAAACTCAATAATGCAAACAATTTTGTCTCCAATATAAGCCTTTCTCGTGAATTGATTTCATTTTCAGCGTAAGAATTGCCATAAATTTTACTCATTTCCTCAATATATGCGTCAATAAAGACAGATATTTGAGAGTCGGTGGGGAAGTCTCCCGAACCAAACTGTAGGTCCT